CAAAAATTGCTTATAAATTTTTACAACATTTTAATTGCTTTTATATATAAGATATCTCGTATACAAAATGCATATCATAACACAAAATTCACGTATATTTCAAGAAAATCCAAATTCTGGTTCTGCAATAACAATCTTTACGTTTTTATTTAATAAATCTTTTAGTAATACAATATTTATTAATGGGTTTTTAAACGAAAATTTCAATTTCGCATCTCCTACTGTGGAAGTAAAAGTTGTTGAATATTAAGAAACTCGAATATTCAAGCAAGTTAATTTGACGAATTTTGTCTTATAATATGTGTCTGCATAAAAATGGAATTACGAAATTATGTTTTTTTTAAAAAAAAATGCAGATTTTTTCAGCCCGTTTTTACCAAACATACTTACTAGTATGTAAGTATATTCCAAAGTCTCTATAATTATCAGCAATTATAAAAACTTTGAATATATACCTCAAACTTTTCCAATCATATATCATTAATTTAAGGTTTAATTTAGCAAAAACGAGCTAGAGGCCCTCCACCACCCCCAAAAACGATTTTATCGGCGGTCCCTTTTTCTTTGTAAGTATACTCACCCGTAAAAAAACGGGCTATTAATAAATTTAGTAGTCCGCTTTTGCAGGTTAGTATATTTTAAATTTATTTTTTATTTTTATGTCTAATTATTTTATTGTATTTTTCGCTAATTATATTGCATTATGATTAGCGAAATACGATAAAATAATTATATTGCATTATGATTAGTGAAATACGATAAAATCATATTGCATAACTTTTTTAATATTATCTTTTATTATAATCCTTTATACATTCAGTATACAATACAATAATAATTGTTTACAATACAATGTACAATTATAAAAGTGCTGTTCGAAATATAATAAAATTATATTATAGGAGCATAATTAACAAAATTTATTAATGCGGGATTATACGAAAACATCGAAAATACATACGATAACACAAGTTTTTCTAAACTTTAATGAAATATTGAGAAAAGCGGAATGAAATACTAACAACAATTAGATCGTATTTACTATTAAAGGATTTACTCTTAATTATTAAAATTTGCGAATATAAAACTTAATAATATCGCGATAAAAAGTCATTAATATATTTATAACAACACTTTCATCATGTTCAAGATAATTTCAGTAATTTCATCATATTAAAGTCCTTCCACCTTGTGGCACGCCGATTAGTATCCGATACAAAGAACAATCTTCATAGTGGAGAGCGAATGTATTCTGATTCTACGTTAAATTCACAAGATTCATTTGCAAAGAAAAGTTAAGCAATCCGTCAAATACCAGTGATCTTGTTACAGGATCAGGATGTGAATCCCGAATCTTTCAAACTACTTACGATAGTAATAATTTTGGTAGCACGTCAATTACAATTACCATTTTTATCAAATTTTCAATATAATATTAAAATTGGCGAGAAAATATGTTCTGCCACATATTACCAAAAATCATCTCTTATTAAAAATAAACGGATAGAATGATTTCCTTATGGAATAGTGGTTACGAAGGAATATATTTAATAATAATAAAATACATGCGTTATTGTAATTTTTTATATGTATGGGTACAGAAGTTCCTCGGGTACCAACTGTTCGAGATAAGACGAACCCGATAATACCGAGATTTTAAAGAACATTTATACTGAAAAATTTATTATATAGAATTTAACAATTCCTTATTTTTTTGCAGTTTCCAAAAATTTGAATTATTACTATCCCGCTAATATGAGGGTACCCATTCAACTTACCTCGAATTTTTTGTAACCACACACCTTTAATTAAATCCATCGACAAAAATTAAAATTTGTTACATATAATCTCATAATATCTGCATGTATTTTATCACAGAAAAGTATGTATATATATATATATATAAATTAATAATTATGATTAATATTCTGGAATGGCGGGATGTCCAATACCTAAAAATCAATTTAAAATAACAGTTAGAAAATTAAATATATATATTCTCGTAACCATATTTTTTTAGAGGAACCATCCAAAATTGAGAAACTATTTGTATAAAATTTAAATTTATTTGCTTAATAATTTGGACTTAAACAATTAAAGAATCATTATATATCCATATTAATCATATAACACTAAATTCCTATTGTTATTAAGATTAAGACAGTACTAACATTATCATTACTAATAGTGGGAGAACATTTAATAAAACAAAGAAAATATACCAATGAATTAATTTCGTAACTTGACTTTAAAATATATAGCAACTATCATTGACAAAATTATTACTTCCAATATCCGCAGACGAGAGAACCCGGGATTAATTCTGATCTTGTACAAGAATCCCTAAAGAGACACGAACCATTAAACTAGATTTTGCGAATGGACTTTACGAAAAGCGACGAGAAATAACTCTCCATGATGAAAATAATTTCGACTTTCCATCGGTACAAACACGCAATCATAGACATCCATCTGACGCGAGGAACAATGATGAGACTTTTGCATATAATAAATTGATCACGAAAATATACTTGTAACTCTGTAATGTTAATGTCAAAAAGCAAGCAATACAAATTTAATAAATTTGTATACTAAATACGAAGAAAAATTGATGATTATTCAAAACAAATATTTAATTAGAAGTTATTTAAAATTATTAATGACTTTTCGATATTCAGAATAAAATCCAAAAAATTAAAAAAAAGTTTCAAAGTTAAAAAATTATCAACCTTATTAAATCATTAAACAATTTTTGTTATTATATGTTTCGTTGATTTTGTATAATAAACATCAATTACGCAACAATGTGATTTACTACGACAAGATAAATGCTATCTGTATTAAATAGATATTCAATAAGTATATATACTCGTATATGGGGCATTCTCCGCGTGTCGGAGTCCCCTTCTGCCCATTTCATTTTTTGACAGAATTCAACCAACCAGGGCTTAAAATTTTCGTTAGAGTGTCTACTTTTTATTGGCGTGTGGCGTTTTGTGAAAATTCAAAATGGCGGACGACGGCGCGCCGATCATTTAACTGTCGAAATCTTAACGTACACATATTACGAGATAAGTAAAGTAATATCTTTTACATTTTTAATATTCTCTGACAAATAGGCTTTATTGCACGGTTTTTGCTTTATTCAGTATTCAGTATTGCTATATTCAGTACATCGCGCGGATTTCGTGTAATAAAAAGTTATTACAAACTAATAATCGCTTATTGTAACACGATTGAAATATCCAAAATATTCATGAGCTGAGTGTGTGCGTAACGAATGTAAGAAGTAAAGCAAAAACCGTGCAATAAAGTCTATTTGTCAGAGAATATTAAAAATGTAAAAGATATTACTTTACTTATCTCGTAATATATGTACGTTAATATTATAAATTGTATTATGTGTGAGAACCTAACGCTTAAACGTCCGGCTATTGGGACATTTACCTTATTTCTAATTTGCATGAATGAATGCGAAATCCGGAGCGACTCGTAACGCAACCGTCTTCCTCCGAAATCGCCGAACGAATGCCGAAATGACGACGTAGTCCGCTACCGCGCCGCGCGGCGCGATCCCACTCCTCGTCATTCCGCTGGCGCTCGGCCCCCCCTCACTGCTCGACGTTCGGACAACCAACCGTCGCGTATGAAAAAATATTCACGATTTATTCAATGAAAACGTAATTTGTGATTATTCGCGTGGGTGGTATTTTTGATATTTCAACGTTATGTCTCAATTTTTATTATTCTTTTTATAATGAGAGATTCATATTTAAATAAAGGTTGATAATATCCTTACATTCTTTACACAAAGATACACGCAAATTTTCTTAATATTGCATTGAAACAATTTACGCTAAATACAGCTTTTTTGACTAAAAGTATTAAATATCTTGTTAAACGTTATTTAATTTTTCAGTAGACCTCAGCTGACTCTCAGTAGACCTGTTATTTGTCAATTTTCTTGTATTTCAATGATTGAAAGCCTGTTTTAATTATTATAGGCTGCGTTCAGCAGAGAAAACAGCTTTGCGACTGTTGTAAAATTCTTCAATATGATTGGTTTATACACTTAGATCCATAAGAAACCAAAAGCAAGGACTAATCGTATCGAAGAATTTTACAGCAGTTGAAAAGCTACTTTCTCTGATCGCAGCCGTTAACATATTATATTCGCGGTTTTATTGCACATTTATGATGTAATGTAGGTAGGAATGCGCGAGTGGAGATAGGTATACGCTAATAGGCACGAATAAATGAAAATACGGGTAGGTAGGATAATAAGTATGGATAAGTAGGGACTGTATAGGTAGGACGATGTCTATGGATAGGTAGGAATAAATGCATCATATGTACATACTTGATAATTGGAAAGGAGGGATTAGAAATTGAATAAAATTTTAAATTAATTTTAAGTTTTATATAATTATCGCAGCATTCCGTTCCAATTATCAAGTATGAAAATAAGCCATATTATTTTCAAATTTTATTGAATTTTCAGCTTAATCCTTAAACCAACTTAAACCTTTTTTGTAAAATTCTATACACACGTACAAATTATGTAACGCGTTAATATTTATACAATTAATTTTATTGTAAATAAATGTAAGCGTTGTTAGCACTACTTCTATCATTCTGTCTTTGTTGTTGATTACACGTAAAACAAGGAATGGTATAAATTACATATCACATTTCATAGACACCGAGGTGAATAATTATTACATATCGACTTTGAATCATATGAAAGCTCTGCTTTTTTGCACGTGATGGTATAAAGCAGAGTTTTTATTGGATATCGCTCATCGCTGATCTCTCGTCGTATCCAGTGTGCAATAGGCATTAAGGCCGGTATTCATAGTCTGTTTTTATTTTAAAGCAATCTTAAGTAATATCCCAAGATGCTAATGTTGCTTTCTGATTGGTTCATAGCATCTTAAGACTGTACTTAAGGCGATCTTAAATATAAGATCTGACTGTGAATACAGGCAGAGAGAAATATGAATATTAATTTGATAGATTTTAGTTATTTCAGCGATTTATTTCCATCAGGAGCACCGCAAAAAAATGGATGTTATGTAGTTTACATCCACTTCTTCAGAGGGCAGTAGTGCGCGGCGGCAGCTTGCGGTTACATTACAGGAAAAAGACCCTCACGTCCTCCCTTAGGTTTCTCTGTGGTAATATATTTTATAATTTTTTTTACTGTTCTAAATTAAGCAGTCTCTTAGACTTAAAAAAGCCGGATTGGATATGTAAACATACATAATAGTTCATGTAGGTGTTGCAACTTATATAGTTCTATATTTATTTTGTGCTCTATATTTACTTGCAATGTGAGATGACAATAAATGTTTTACTATTTATTAAATGCCTAAAATAAATTATAGCCAATATTGTTAAATAATATAAATAATTTATTTTAGGTATATGGTGCAAATGAACGTTTGGAACATAAATAACGTTGTGTAATAATTCGTGCCAAAGAAAAAAAATAATAAGATAAAAGTGCCCAAAATGCTTTTACATTTATAATTTTTTACTTGAAATAATTATTTACAAAATAAATTTAGTAATATTTCTATTTACATTGAATTATTCTATAATTATGTAAACAAGTTTACTTGGTACGGCAGGATAATCATAACATTCTTATTTAATCATCGTATGTCTCCAAAACATCTGCTAAATGTTCATTATCTCTTGGTTTCTTAAATTGTTTCCTTCTATTAACAGGTTTCTTTCGTTTGATTGGTGCTGGCTTTTTTAATCCATGATCTTGCATTGATCTAATTCCTTGTTTCTCAAGATATTCATCTATTTTTTGATCATCCATAGCATCTACTGCAACAGCTCGCCATAATTTTTGGAATTCTTCGTCAATGGGGAATTGGGCTGTCTTATCATTGTAAAAGATAATTTTTTTCTTATCAAGAGGTCGTGTAATATACAGTATTTCGTTTTGTAAATTCTGAAATATATAATAAATATAGTATTTCTCAAATTGCAACTAGAAAAGTAAATTTTTATATATTCATACTTACCTTTAAATGTTTATCACAATGCGGTAAACTCTCCTGTATATCTTCCAATAATATACCACCGAGACCTTTTAAATCGTGTTGTTTTAGAAGTCTCAGTAAAGATTTTTTATCTTTAATTTTATACATAGGTTTAAAGACAAATCTACCATCTGTTACTTCAATCTTAGGATTTTGTATTAAAGCTTCAGTCTGTAGCCATTGCTTGACCTGAAAATATACATAAAAAGAAGTAAATAGCTTATTTTGATAAAAAATAGAAATATAAAACAGGAATAATAAGAATAATAGACGACAATACCTTTGATCCAACATCTAATTGATTTGTTTCATCTAAAATTTCTTCTAATGTTAACGGATGATCATCTCCTTCCTGATGCCTTGCTTTCATGTGTTTTACTATCTTTGCTAACACGCCAAATTTGTATTGCGTGCTACCGGCCATGGTTTTATAGTTGACCATGTCCAATTTCGGTCCGGTAGATACCGATGATGGCTTAGGTTTCTTCTTCGGTGGTTCATCTTTCGTAGTTTCCTTCTCCTGCTTCCTTTTGTCAACTCTGTAATTGCGTTATCAGAAATATATTTTGTATTTTTATATAAATAATCTAAACATCATGGTATATATTAAGGTGTTTTTAATTTGATGATACAAATCGATACAAGTGTTATTCTGTCTTTGTTACTTATTGAAAGGTAGAAATGATATTTGTATCAACTTTTAACATCAAATAGAGAGCACTCATTATGATTATAATAGACTATTAGACTACTATACAAAAACTAATATATTAGGTTATACGCTCAGATTTGATTAAGCACAATAAAACTTAATAAATAAAATTATCTGCACAAAATTAAATATCTACATATAAACACTCTTATTGTTATTCTTTCTTAAAATTTCGCATTAAATGTATGTAATGTATATTGATAGATAAGAATAATCACTCACATTGGTGTGGTCAGGGCACGTTTCTTGAAGAGCTCTCGCTCTCTGAGTAAAGCCGGATCCATTGTTATTACAGATTTTAATTTCAGTTATACCACAATTTTTTATTTCATTCGTACGTATATTCTTGATACTCGTTACTATCTTATAACAAAACTTAACCTCTCCTAATGCTCGTACCTGCACGTATTACCAGTACTACCACCGTAATCTCAGCCAGCTTTGACTGATTCTGGCGCCCTCATCGCTTGATAGTCTAATTGCTCCGAACTGAACGCACTCTACTGCGCAAGAATGGCTGATGCCTTTAAAATTGCGCATCTAGGTTTGTTTTTTTTTTAAACTAAAGTACACTTTGTACTTAAAATGAAATAGGTATACGTTTAATATTTGTCGAAAAAAGAAAAAGGACAATTTTAGTGCAATAATTAAAAAACAAACCTTGTACTTTTGTAACTTCAGTATAAAATCAATCCACTGCGATTTTATATATGTGATTTTTATTACAATCTAGCACAAACTGAACATAATTTCCAACAAATACCAACAGTATCATTATAACTATTAGTTATAGTTTCTCATTTAATAATATAATTGTTATATAATACGTGTGTTATATTACAATTATATCATTGTTGAGTGGAAAATGATAACAACGTAGTTATGTTTTTGTTATAAATGATATTTGCTGGGAAATCATCATAACATTAAATGACTCCAAAAGCCGATGTACATTGCTAGTACTGAATACGTAACGTGAACTACAGATTTTCAATATTGGCAGTATATATCGGAACATGGCAAAAATAATTACTAAACATCACTTTTCAATCAATAACGATTCATTTTATTGACATCATTTTGATGTTATCGTAACTTGTTTTTGCTTGGGGAAAACAGATCACAGGAATTGTTGCTTCAAACGATATCAAACAATATTTATTGCTTTGCAGTTGTATCAAACAAGCACGAATGTAGACGTACATACAGAGAAACAAATCATATGCAGTTTAATATGCAGTTATATTTCCGTTCTTTTTGTTTGTTTGTGACCTGCGTTCTGAATGCGTTTTTATCGATAAATGCGAGCTTTTATTTCTGAAATTCTATAGTATATATAACGCGAACTATATGTTAAATGCACGCTAATATCGATATAAACGCGTTCTGAATACAGGTCATATCATTAATTTAACTCTTTAACTGCGTCGTACTTCCATTTCACATTGTTCGTCTCAGAATTAGAAATAGTCACATATGTACAATTTTTTCATATTGACAATTGAATGTACATTTTGGCAAATAAAGGCTACTTTTTCAAACGTATATTAAAGTAACTATCCCTATTACTGTCTGGCCCTATATTAGTGTGACGTTGTATTTGAATAAGCCAAAACTAACACAAATAAGTAAGAAAAACTATTTTTTTATTAAGTTAAACTATTAATGAACGCGATAAAAAAAAAATGTTCTATTTTTTAACTATTAAAGTATAGTAAACATTTTTCGAAAGATATAAAGAATTCATATGAGTTTGGTAATACCGCAAGATTTTAAGCTTGTCTCTATCAATAAATCTCTGTATTGTAGATGAGAATTATGTTATGACCCAGATAATAAAAAGTGTCTAAAATCAGATCATAAAAAGTGTCTAAAATCAGATCATAAGACGTTTTTTGCATCTAAAAGACGACATAAAGACGTCTTATGTCACAATTTTAGACTTTGTGTTTAGGGAGTGTACATTGAAATTGTAAGTATAATTAAAATAATGATTTATGCAATATGAACTTAAACAGTTAGTTTACATCCAACAAAAACGTTTTTTTATGTTTATCAAAAAATTTTTTATCAAAAATATTATAAAATATTAACATCTCCTAGATAAAAAAATATTACAAGAAAAAGAAATAGTTGAAAATTGATATTGATTTCAAGTAGACAAAATTAAAAAATTATTAAATACAATATTCAATAATTAATTCAATAATGAGCAAGTTGGCTTAAGGGCACGTTAATAGGAATAGTTACCCTTCATGCGCTTTTGAAAGATGGGTCAATTAAAAGATTGATTCAATCTGATTCCCATTGCACTATGAGACATTTTGAAACTGGTTATTAATTTCAATTAATGAAAAACTAATGAGTTAGAAACTAATTAAACGAGGATTAATTAATTAGCAATCTTTTCTCAGAAGCGCTAAGTTAAATAGCTGCTTGTGAAACACCCGCGAATTTAACGTGACGTATCGACGGCTTTTCACGTTGGAAATGTCAAATCAATTCTTGTGCATCATTGGTCAATGATTCAGAGCGTTTTACGGTCGTTTGTTTGTACGCGGGATATACTTTGTCTAAGACCCGTAATTCTCGGACGTGTTCCCGCATCTTCGTGACGAGCGTTTTGCGAGCAATGCGGCACGCGCAGTTCGCCCTATAATTTCGCGTTCGGATTATTACTTTCGCGCGTCGAAGGGCACGAAGGAACCTTCGACTTGGACGTGAATCCACGAGATTTATTGCAAGTACACCTGCGAGCAGCAAATTATTCCTATCGCGAGTAAATCAAGTCGAATGTTGCATCGGAGTTATATACATGGACTCCTATAATCCTATAAAAGCAGCACGTTCTTTTATTGTTTCGCGTCATAAATTTGCAGCTTTTACGACACAATTTGTGCGATATTATTCGACAATGATCAAACTACTGTTCTTGTAATAAAATAAGAAAAGAAGGGCATTTTATTGTTAAAAAAATTTTTTTTTATATGAAACTGGTTAAAGAACTTTTGATAATTTGCGAAACATATTTGATATTTAATAGAAAAATTTAACTTTTAGAATCCCTATAAAGTCCTAAAGTAAATTACTGATTCATGACTCTTTGTTAGTAAGCGGATTAACTACATCATTTATATTAAGTACTTCCAGCGCTGATCTCCGCTATTAAATCGCAAATATGTAATCGCGTACTAAGATAATAACGTGATAGCGTCAGAACAAACATTAATGCTTTTTGTGAGAAGTTTTGACGAACTCCCTCTCTCTCTCTCTCTCTCTCTCTCTCTCTCTCTCTCTCTCTTCTTTAACAACGACTTGCACCTTTTGACACGTTAGCGTGGTCTCGCCGTACTTTGAACTTTTTCAGGAAGGATTTCCATAATTCGCCAGCGCGGACGTATAAAGTTGACCGTCCGACCGCTTAAAACCTCGACGAAGAAAGTTATCCAAGCAACGAGCGAAGACGCGTCGCGCATATATTAGACGGGACTGTTTGCGACGCTGCGCGCTTTCCGCTAAGTTATACCTTATTCTTATGAATTTCTTGGCAAAGAAAATGTGTGCATATTTGTATGTGTGCATTTCTCTGTGTGTATGTTACACGTGCATGTAATATCGGATACTCTTTCCATCAAGACTAAGGCGACATTGAGCCGTTCTTTTGTTACATTGTACATCATATAAAAGTTGTAAAACTTTTTAAGAGATGCATATTTTACGTTTCGCCTAATATATGCGAGTGAGTATGTGCGCATTTTAACTACACGTACTTAGAGTGTATCGAAAAATTGTTTTTTATTTCAGATACGTGTTTGTTAAAGTTCCTAATTCTCTACTCTATGTAATACCTAGGAAAATCTATTTCCCTCTACAATGGATAGAAATGATAGAGTAAAATCGTGTGAATGATAATCGCGAAATAAATGTAAATATAAATACGATTTTAGAATTATTTTTTAAATTTTATTTTGTAAAATCAAAAAATAGTTCACAAAGAACATAAGCTCGTTCTAAAGTTTAATTTTGTTGAGAACCGATTTCAAGTTGAGAGAGTTTGTATCATTCGGAAAGTCTAACGTGAAATTCGTATAAAACACATTTGTTCATATAAATAGAATATACATAATATATGAATTAATTTTTTATATTATTATTTTATACGTATATTCCGCATTCTTTGATAATATTCATCAGTGCAATGACTTTTTATCTTTTTAAGAATTGCTAATTGGTTTATATATGTACCTATGTATATTCAGTAAAATTGATCGTTAGTTTAAACGATGCCATTTGCAAAGCAAAACACACACACATACGATAATAGAATTTATAATAACATTTATCAAAATTTATTTAAAATGTAAAAAAAATAGTAAATTCGTGTACGTATTTATGTGTAATGAAATAATAATATCTCTCGTAACGTAATGCTCGAACAAATAAATAGTGCCGCTATTCGTTCTGTGTGTCGTGTCGTTATTCCTTTTCAAAATGCGACCACGATCATATTTTATGAATTAGCCATTATCGGTTTGCCTAATTAATTTCCGCGATTAATATTTTGTATTGAAGCATCGACTATTTATCGAAACGAGTACTTCACACGTTTTATTTCTTTAAAATAAAAATTAAAATTAAAAATAGATATTGGAGTTAGAGATCGTCCTTTCATTGAAATTTACGATAATTATTCTCTTAACAACGTTCGCATTGAATATCTTTCATATTATATTTCTTGTTAAATCAGGCGTATCTACATCTGAATTAAGAGCACAAAATATAATAATCGTTAATTCGAATAGTTCATATCTATAATGGCGAAAGCTGATACATTGATTATATCGATAATGCATAGTTTACATTTATAGTCCAAAATGCATCACGCGAGCTGAAAATGTAGGGACGCGTAACGTATCCAGCAGAGTATACATTTATTTTGTAACATTTAAAAATAATTTCGTAACAATAGGCCTGTTCTTTTTGGCTAAACTTTTACACTAGTTCATCTTTCTTCTTCTTCTTCTTTTCTCCTAAAGAGAAAAGGAAGAAAGATGAACTGGTGCAAAAGTTCAGTCAAAAAGAACAGGCTTAATGAGGAACTAACTGATGTACATATGCGTCTCATATTTTGCGGCATAGTCCAACGTGTCTCTTTGTGACATCACAAGGTCGCGCGCGGTCGGTGCCGAGTCGTTGGAGCGCTCAGTGAGCATTTGCATCTTATTGGCATATTCCGTTAGAACTAAAAATATAGATCAAACAGATACAAGGCTTGC